GGCACGCGTGCTGGCTCCGAGACGCCGCGGCCCGTCCCCCCGCCGCCATCGCCACCCCGTCACCACTCTGGTGGGCGTGCGGCGTCGCGTTCCCGTGCGTCGCCTGGGCGTCGCGTGGTGCGCTCCCCTCGAGTCGCTCCGAAGCGTCGCCCGAGCCCCGCCACTTCGCAGCGGCCAGCCAGCTCCCGCGCGGACTCCGCTGCTCAGGCCCCTCCGACTTCGGTAGGCATGCGCTCTTCCAGCGATGCTGTTGCGGCCCCGCAGGGAGGAGGGCGTGCCGCCGAGAAGGGGGGGTCTTCGAGCGGCTTCGCGCTTGGTCGAGCTTCTGAGCCCGAGCTGCCTCTCAGCGGCTCTCACAGCGGTGACGCTGGAAGCGCCGCGGCTGCAGCCTTCGCAGCGCGGCGCACGGCCTCGGCTGCCGCTGAGCAGCCCTTGCCTCCAGGGGCCGCCAGCGCCCTAGCGTGGCGCCTCAACCTAGGCGGTGAGAAGATCACAGTGGTGAGGTGGGGACCCGCCTGGCAAGGTGCTTTCCAGAGCGCGGCGTCGTGGCTGAGGACTTTTGCACCCGCAGGGGCCGCCGAGCCTGAGGGCAAGGATGACCTGCACTGCCTCCTGCGGGCCTTGCACGCCTACAAGCGCCTGTTTCAGACAGGCGGCGCCGAGCCGCTTGACGAGGCCTCGTGGCTGCATCCTTACGTGGCCATCGTCGAGCCCGAGGCGATCCCCGCGGATGCTGACCTCCAGGCCATGGGGGCGGGCGCCATCCGTGGCATCGGGCTCGGCTCAAAGATCGAGCAGCGGCGGCGCGCGGGCAAACTGGCCTGCCTTTTCGACCTTCTGTACCACGTGCAGGACAGTCACGGCGCCATCCCAGCAGCGCTGTGGGGATCCCATTCCCCTCCGTCCGAGATCCTCGACGCCTTCGCGGAGGTGGTGCCCGTGCCACATCATTCGGGCCTCACGTCCTCGGCAGCTCGTTCCGAGCTTGCCGAAGCAGCCGCAGCTGCGCGTGCCGAGCCGCGCCCGCCTTTTGACTGGCCGACCCTCGAGAGAGGGGACGCTCTGCCAGCCGAGATCGAAGCAGGGGCTCGCCGTGCCTACCGTAACATGGGCGGGTCCTTCAGCTCGGCGCGGGCGATGCTGGCGGAGGCGTCGGGGTTCGAGACCGACGGGCGGGACGCCCTCGTTCCGCCCTTCTACGCGTCCAGGCGCAGGAGGGCCGCCACGGTGATCAGCTCTCCAAGCCCTGGCCGCCCTGCGCTCATCCTGTGGTGCGTCTGCGGCCTCTGCATCTCTCTGGGAGCCGCGGCGCCGACCGCAGGCCAAGGGCTTAGTCGGGCTGCGCCGTCCGCGCCCGCTCGCCCTCCGCGCACTCCCTTTGTGCGCGATTCTCACCTCACCTCCGCGTATCTCGACCGTCGCTCGAGATCGATTGATGCCTTCGAGCTGTGGTTAGCAGAACACGCTGGCGTGCCACCCGCCACACTTTACCGAAGCGGGATACTTCTCGCTCGTTTCCTCGCGACCTTCGGCGTGTGGCTTCATGATGCAGGTTTCCCTCATTATATTTTGGTCCATGCCATCTTGGGAATCCAAAGCGCCCATCCGCATTGGAAGGCCTTTCTGACAGAAGCTTGGGACGTAGCGAAACAATGGAAGCTTGCGGAGCCGCCAAAGCTCCGTCCCCCCTTGCCACGCGCGCTGCTGCGCGCCATGGTCGGGCTCTGTCTCGCCTGGGACTGGCCTGTGATGGCGGCGCTGCTGCTCATGGGCTTCACGATGTTCCTCAGGCCTGGCGAACTGCTGGCGTCACGCCGCTGTGACCTGTCGCTTCCATGCGACCGTCTCGAAGTCGAAGGGGATGCTTTTCTTTCAATTCTTGTTCCAAAGACCAGAAGAACGTACCCGACGCAACATGCTCGCTGCTCCGATCGGGGCACGGTGAAGATATTGAGTCAAGTGTTTGGAAGGTTGGCTTCCACCGATCCTCTCGCCCCCTTCGGTGCGAGCGGCTTCCGTACTCGGTGGAATCATCTGCTTTTGGCTCTGGGCGTCCCTCTTGCCAAAGCAGGTCAGGGGCTCAACCTGACGCCCGCTTGTCTGCGGGGCTCTGGCGCAACAGACTTTTATATCGCTACGGAAGACGTCCCTCGCGTCTTCTGGCGTGGGCGTTGGCGTCAGGCTTCCAGTGCCGAGCGCTACCTGCAAGCCGCCGCCGCCTCTACAGTTCTTGCTGCGCTGCCCGAGCACGCGCGGGCTCGTATCTTGTTCTTCGCCACCGCCAGCGACCGCCTCGTCGCTTCTTTCCTCCAAGTCGGCCCCGCCGCTTGGCCTGCCCTGCTTGCGGCCGCCCGCCAAAACCTTGTCACTTCGCAAGGTCCTTGAGCACGGGTATGGCTGCCTCGCCGACATCGGCGACCAGACGGACTCCACCGTCTGACGCGCGGCGCCCCGGCTTGAGCGCGCGGGACGGGCCTGCCCATTTTGGGCCGCCCCGCGCGCGCACGCCGCGGCCGCGCACGGAGACAGCTCGCTAGCGCGCGAGCGGGAGAATGCTTCTTCTATTCTCTGTGAGCAAGCTCCTGCTGTCTCCGCAGCTTCTCTGCCCCCCTCCCTCCTCTCCCATTCTAAGGCTGACGGGCGCTGCCTCGCCGACATCGGCGACCAGACGGACTCCACCGTCTGACGCGCGGCGCCCCGGCTTGAGCGCGCGGGACGGGCCTGCCCATTTTGGGCCGCCCCGCGCGCGCACGCCGCGGCCGCGCACGGAGACAGCTCGCTAGCGCGCGAGCGGGAGAATCCTCTCCTCCTCCCCCTCCCCCTCCCCCTCCCCTCTTCCCTCCTCCTCCTCCTCCTCCTCCTCCCCCTCCCCCTCCCTCCTCCTCCCCCCCTCCCCCCCCCCCCCCCCCCCTCCGCGCGACCCTGTGCTTGGTCAAAAGGTCCAAAAAGGTCCTCCTCCTCCCCCTCCCCTCCTCCTCCTGCTCCTCCTCCTCCTCCTTCTCCTCCCGACCCAGCGGGGTCATGGGGGTGATCCCAGACTGCCGCTGCGGGCGGGTCGAGGTCGGAGGGCGAGGGCGAGGTCGGAGGGCGAGGGCGAGGGGGGAAAGGGGCGGCAGGGGAGGAGGAGGAGGAGGAGGAGGAGGAGAGGAGGAGGAGGAGGAGGAGGAGGAGGAGGAGGAGGAGGAGGAGGAGGAGGAGGAGGAGGAGGAGGAGGAGGAGGAGGGGGAGGACGAGGAGGAGGAGGAGGAGGAGGAGGAGGAGGCGGAGGCGGGGGAGGAGGAGGAGGACCCTGACCTCCTCCGTAGCCATTTTGGCTCAAGCCGAGGGGCAGGCCCAAAGTCCTTTTTTCAGGCTGCCACGCACGCTCCTGCTGTAAGTCGGCCCCGACTGCAGCAGTCTGTTTCGGCCGAGAGAAAGCGTATGGCGGAGTTACTGGAAGCTGCCCCCATTTTCCCGTGTCAGGAACAAGGGATGCGACAAGGATTGGATGCAGGAGCCAGTGCCCCTCAGCGAGCCCGAATCACACAGCCTGCCGATCAGTCCGACATCGCCGACCTGCGCCAACACATCAATGAGACAAAGCAGGAGTTCATGGGCGCCTTGGCCAAGGTCGAGGAGTCGATGGGTGCCCTCTCCAAGTCCATCAAGCGCGGCTGGGAATCGATGGACCACAAGCTCGAGAGCCGCCTCACCGCCTTCGACGAGAGGCAGTCAGCACAGGAAGCCAGGATCGACGTCATGGAGGCGCAAATCCGATCTTTACAAGCGGCCCTTGATGTTGTTAAGTCTGATAAGCCTGTGCCTCCCCCCCACAAGCATCAATTTCGACAGGGAGATCGACCACTCCATCCTCACCTTCAGGACCAAGCTCTCCTCGACTCAGTCCGACGTGCTCGCCAGCCTGCAGGGTTGGCTCCAGCGCGCCAACTTGGACCCAACGGAGTACGAGATGGAGTCCGAGCCGACCACCACCAAGCATATCATGCGGATCAAGGGCAGTCGACCCTATGGTGCGCGGAAGGTCCAACAGGCTTTGGGGGCTCTCCGCAAAGCCAACAATGAATGGGAACGGTTTTCTGTGCTCAGCGCTGGGAGTCAGCAGCAGCAGGAGATCTTCATCTCGCCAGATAAGAACCAGGCCCAAGTCAAACGTGAACTGGGAGTCAAATATGCACGGCGTGAATTGGAACGATTATGTCCTCATCAGAAGTTTTTCAGTGACAAGCTCAAGGTAGAAGTGTCCTGCCAGTGGCGACCGATGGCGCGTATCGACCCTCGTGCTGAGCAGGAGCCCGCCATTTCTTTCTCGAACGAGAACCTGGCGCACTTCGGCATCTCCAAGCCGGCGCTCAGCGATGCCATCAAGGCTAACTACAGGCAGACGGAGGGCACATCATGGAGTGTTTAGCCCTCTTCTAGGCGCTTGGCAAGAACGGTCTGGTCGCAGCGTGCCCCTGCGACTCGCGACTTGGAACGCCAGGGCCCTTTTTCACTTCAAGGTTGCCTGCAAGTCAATGAAGCTACGCAAGGTTCGCTCTTTATGGCGACCTGGCTCGTTTGTTGCGCTGCAGGAGACGCACGGCGCCCGAGCGGAGCTTCGGGACTTCCTCTACCACTCTAACTCCTGCTTCTCCGCCTACTCCTCGTTCTGTCCCAGTTCTCGTCGGGCAGGTGGCGTCATCACTCGCATCCCCAACTTCGATTCGTTCTCGAACATTACCCCGACTATCCATATCTATCGGCATATTCCTGGGCGTGCTCTGGAGGTCTTCTTGAGGTTTTCGGACGCCATCTGGATCAGCCATTTCAACTTACATTTGCACGGTTTATCTGTGAGCGAACGTCGTCTTCTCGCATCGGTGCTTCGCGATCGTCTCTCTGACTCTCAACTTTTTCCTACCTCGCGCCTGGCGGTTGTGGCTGGCGGCTTGAACCTCGCCGACAAAGCCCCTGAGCTCCTGGACGCAGTCCCAAGTCCTGATCCCACTCTTCCTGCTCAGGTTTGGCGTGCTACGAAGGACCCGATCATTAGCCCCATCCTCTCCTCCATGACCGAAACCGACAACCCCGACCCCGCGCGCTACAATGGGGAACTGGGGACCCTGAACACCATAGATAGGATCCTCGTCTCGTTCCCAGGCTGGGTCTGCAACCAGGTGCACTTTCGTGGCCAGGTAGTCGAGTACCCTGAGGTCTTATCCTCGAAGGGCATCTCTGACCATGCTCCGCTCGTGGTCGAGATTGCGCGCAGCTTCCCCGTCCCAGCTAGGCAACGGCCTATACCGACAGAAGTTGTCCGACAAGATGAATACGCTGAATATCCCAAACAGATTCTAGATATAACGGATATTACCTCTATGTCTTCTCCTCTACTTCTGGAATTCCATACCCGTATTATGAGGGAAGCTGCGCAGTATGCACGGGATGCTATGATCGTGAAACGCCCAGAGTCGGTGGCCAGCAGATTTCTCATCATCAAAAGCATATGTCGGGCTGTTTGGCGTCAAGATGTTGGTCTGGCAGAACGACTCAGGGCGTCGCGCCATCTAGCTAGGCACTATTTAAGCGTTGAACTCCTTGAACGGCGAGCTCAACTTCTGCATGGCTTTGAGTTCCTCCAAGCATCTGCCGAAATACATCGTCAAATCGCCGAGCAAGATCAAAACGAAGTTCGACAAGCTATCCGAACGAATCCCGATTCGACAGGGGCAATGAAACTTCGAAGGCGGATGCGAGGGCTCATAGCAAGGTCACGCCTGTGGTCGCCTTTCGACAGGCGTCTTGTGCTGCGCGGAGTTCGGCGCGCAGGAGGGGTCTGCACGGAGCCTGAGAAAATGACGAACCTCCTGGCTCACCATTGGCGTCCTGTCTTCTCTCATAAGCCTATTGCTACAGCCAGTGCCCGGAGATATCTTGAGGAGCTCGGTCCGCGAGCCGATCTCCGTGACCTTCCGCCGCCCGCGCTCAGAGGCCTTCAGAGGTACGTGGGCTCCCAGGTGCACTCCGCTCCTGGACCCGATGGTTTGCCGTTCGTTGCTTGGCAACGGCACCCGTCTGGCGTGCGCGTTTTAGACAACATGTTGCGGTGGATTCTGGCGGGAAACATACCCCTGGTCACGTTCAACGACCTTCGGGAGGTTTTTGTTCCCAAAGGCACCGAGGAAGGAGATGAGGTGGCTATCATTAGGAGTGGCTCCCAGACAAGGCCCCTGGGATTAAAGAATACGTCAAACAAAATCCTGACGGGTGTTGCGGTCCGAGAGCTGAGTCGGTCCCTGGACTCGTTTATCCACAAGATCCAGCGGGGCTTCGTAGGCGGGCGGAACTTCGGGACCAACGTTCTCGAGCTAGACACATACTCCAGGATCTTCAGCATGCAGGGCCCCAGGGACGACGCTGCCATTTCTCGCAAGCCTTGTTCAGTGGCTTTTGATTATGGTCAGGCTTTTCCTTCCATCGCTCATGAATTGATATTCTTATGTCTCCGATGTTTGCAGTTACCGTCTCCTCTCTTCCACTTCTTCTGGTGCTTGTATCAGAATGTGCGGACCTTCGCGCTTGCGGCGAACGAGCTGATGTTCGCGTTCATGATCGAGAGCGGGATCATTCAGGGCTGCCCGGCCTCTGGTGCGCTCTATGCGATTGCGCCCCACGCCTTCTTAGCCGACGTCGATGAGATACTCACTCCTGGAGCGGCCCCTGGTATCAGGACAACCAGAAAATATCATGGTCGAGTTCATGGGATCGCTCGAGCTTGTGAGGATGACATCGGAGCAGCACTACACGCGCTTGCTCATCTGTGTCGACTGAAACGACCATTCGATCTGAGCCGTAAGTTAGCAGGCCTCACTCTGAAGGTCTCAAAGTGATATATAGTCCCCTTGGGTGGCCAGTGCACTCCAGAGCTGATTCAAACGTTTAAGGACTGGTTGGTCGCCAACATTCCCGAGTGGGGGCCTTCCAGATTGTTCCGTTTTTGACGTACCTCGGTGTTGTCTTGGGTCTTGGGGCCTATCTTGAAGCCTGGAAGGCCCCCCTTGAGAAATGGTTTCGTCGCGGTGGGGAAATAGTCAGAGCTCGATCCCCCACTGCTGTCACTCAGTATCTGTATAGTAAGCGAGCTGTCCCCACCTTATCATATATAGCACAATACATGCCGCTGCCTAGCAAGATAGACAACTGTGATGTTTACAGACGCGAGCACGCTTTGCTCGCCGCCTTGTTTCGCATGCCACATTGTGCGTTCTCTCGAGCGGATTTCTTCGGGTGGTGGGAGTGGGGTGGGCCTCGGATCCCCAGCATTGCCATCGCTGCTGCCGCCACGCCTCTTCGAACTGCTCTAGTCACTTTGCCTGACTGGCGAGCCCTGTTCACCACGCTTGCCGCCGCTGCCCAGCAAAACTTGGGCCTCCTAGATGTCGCTGCTGGCAAATTATCTCCCAGTCACTGGCGCTCACTGCCGCTAGTTCAGAATTTGCAGAATGCAGCCTCGGGATTTGTTGGCGACCCGCTATTTGCCTGTGCTGGTAATGAAGTATGCTCAGCTGTCTGTCGGCTACTGGCCACGGCGGATCCACGGCGGCCGAAGCCGAAGATCCAGCGAGAGATTGCCGAGATGCTTCGCCAGGCTGTGTTTCCCAACTCTTTTGGAGACGCTTGCGCGCGAAGATATTACAGTTGGTTTCCCGAGCTCAGCGCCAAGATGGCCGCCATCGACTGGTCTGCCGTCCAAGCGGTTTTGGAATCCCAAAAAATTAGCTTTAGCAGTGCTGTTACCAAGACCCTGGCTGGTGCTTGGGTCGCATCCGTTCGGTTTCATGATATCAATGTTGGAGGCTGTATATTCGGGTGTGGAGGCCCTGACACATTCTTGCATTACTGGTCTCAATGCCCCAGATGTCTCGTGCTCATGTATCGGATTTATCACCCCTTCCCTCTTCCTCAGTGTCCTCTCGAGCGTCTTGGTGTGTGTTCCCCCGCTCGTCTCTCCCTCGAACCGTGTGCTGCCTCTCTCATTTTGTATACCACTGCACACTCTCTCCGACCCTCGGCCGACTTATTCCACCCTTTAACCGAGGAGGAGTCTGAGAGTCTGCTGCCGCAGGTCAAGGCCAGCCTCGGCAGAATGCGCCAGGCAAGCCAGCGAGACGAACCCGAGCGCCCCCAGCCACGAGCCAGGAGGACCCTGACCTCCTCGCGCGGTGACAGAAATTTCGATGCAAGATCGTCTGAGACTCTCAGCCCCTGGGGGCCCCAACCGGAGCCACGGAGCCGTCGAATACGTATTCTGGATGGAAGACCAGTCCCCGGGAAGGGGTCCAGACCTGTGGGGGCCGCTCTATGGAAAAATCAAATAATCGGAGGTCTGAGGAAGAGGTGGTTTTGGGCCAGAGGAGGAGGGTCGGAGGCGAGAGAGGTGGGGAAGTGAGAAGGAGGAGGCTCTCTCAGAAGGCAGCGGGGCTTCTCAGAAAGCCTGTCGTGTTCCGAGAAGTTTCCTGTGTCCTTGTGGACGGCTTAGAGGCCCGAGGACTTCCGAGCCTTCTGAGAAGGCCCGCCACTTCCCCCCCAGACTCGCCGCCGAGGAGGGGCAGCAACAGGAGCAACAGCAGACAGGGTGGCCAGCTTTGCGTCGGCGGTTTTCTCGCGCTGCCGCGGGGAAAGCGAGGCAAGTGCTGAGAGCGAGCTGGCATCGAGGCCACGACGCGTACTTCGCGCGTCTCTCGGCGTGCAGTCGCTCACGCAGAAGGCATGATAATGCATGCGGCTGCATGCGCGTGTGTCGCCGGAAATCGACTGCCAATCCCGCGGCGGCCGTGCGCAGCGGTGTGCAGGCAGCGGCTCCATCTATTAATCTGCCACGGTCCAGCGATCGGGGCAGCGGACATGCGGTGCACAGCTAACACTACACTACACCCCTCGTCGCACAACGGGCGGCCCCTGCTAATTCCCGAGCTTGGATCGGTGCCCTGGCCCGTCATGCGCCCACGCCTGGACAAGAAGTCCTCCGACTGGTCCGGCCACTTCCTCCCCAGACCTCCGAAGACTAGACTTTTCGGCGCCGTCATCCCCGCCATCATCGGGCCCTTGGTTTGTCCCGGGCATTAATTGCACAGTCTTTGGGGCCCAGGAAAGGCTCCCAGAGGCCCAGCATGGTGAGTGAACCCGGCGCGACCCCGCTTAGGGGAGCAGTTTCTATTGCGTGGGCGCGTCGCGTGCCAGTGTTTGGCAGAGTGCTTGGCAGCTTGTTCGGCATAGTGTTTTGCGTCTGTCTTGGCATTGTTCGGCGCTCCTTTGCGTTGCTTGACACTGCGTGGCGAGGTGGCAAGGAGCCAAGGAGCCGTGGAACCGAGGAACCAAGACCAAGGAACCAAGGAGCCACATCAAGGAGCCAAGGGACCCAGACCAAGGAGCCAAGGAACCACATACCCAGGAACCAGGGAACCAAGCAATCAAAGCCTCAGGAGCCGAGCAACCAAGAAACTAAGAACGAGGAACCCAGGCAAGGCCTTGTAAGGAAATAAGCGGAGCCCTGGGGAAGGCCCTTGTAATGAACAAAGACCAGGGACCCCGGGGAAGGCCGGCGCCATCTGGGGGCTGCACCCATGCATCGGTTTTCCAAATTAACATCCGAGAACATGAGGCAAAGCCTCGTTTGAGAAAGATGCCCCGCGCTGCTCCCCCGCTCTGACAGAGAACCGCGCTTGAGTTTCGCAGTTTCTCGGCGAAGATATCCAAAGCCTTGGCCAGAGTTTCGCCAGAACCGCCGATCGCTGAGAGGCCCAATCGCCGATCGGGTCTCCTCGCCGATCGCCGCTCGAGCCGGCCTGATCGCAGATCCGACCGCCGAGGGGACCGGCGTCGCCCCCCCCCCCCCCCCCCCAGACCCCCGACGTCATGATTTTCTATCGAGTCGACCCCCAGAGGTCCCGACCCGTTCCCCAGGACCACTTGTCCCCCAGCTGAGTCATTCTGTGACGTCCCTGGGGCCCAGTCAGGCCCCCTGGAGGCCGAGCGTAGAGAAAAAAACCCTCCGCCGCCATTTCCCCATGACTCGACGGGGTCTGGGCCAGCAGCCAGCCCGCCCAGGCTTCATCTCCTGCCCGCAGGCCACCGCGGCCTTCGGCAGGGACGTGTTCCTCTCCAGCCTGGAGGCGGCTGCCCGCCGTGCGCCCCTGACTTTCGCCGCCCGCGCTCGCCCACCGCGGGCCTCCCCCCGGGTCCTCGGCCCCGTCGCCCGCGCCGCCGCCGCCGCCGACGCCAACTTACCCT